GGGAAGAGAGGATGCGTAGAAAGAAATGAATGGGGTGCTAGAGATGGAAGGGATTTGCATGTCTCCAATTAGTTTGCGCAGAAGTCAGGCGTTTGTGTACTCTCCTTAAACGTGCGGTATTGTGATGGAAATGGAAGCGTTCCTTCTCTTTCCTCTTGCTGTTCTCGAACGCCTCCCATAACAGTGTTTTAGATGAGAGGCATAATGCAAGTAGGCAAAAGTGCAGCAAAAGGCGTGGTGTAAAGACACTTGCAAACTTACTAGAAAGATTTGAGCTAGCCTGTCCTGTTTCCGACAGAGAGGTGGAGTCGCAGCTTCTTTGTCCCGGGGTAATCTGATTCTTGCCGTAACTAACTTTGTGACTCATTCATTCAGTTTACATTCCATATCTTTGACCGGTGAAAAAGCCAGCCTGGAGGCAGCAAAATCAGACTTGATTTGAGGGGTTTATTTCCTGCCTGTTCCGTTAGTTGCTTGGACGGGACATTGGAAACATTTGAGATCTTGCATAAACGCTAATTTGTCATATTTTGGTTGCTCCTAATAAAAGTGTTGCTCATATTTAGAATTTACCTTTATTTCTCCATAGCAAACTTACATATATGCTGTATTATTTGGTGCCACGGCAAACTTCAATATTAATTTGGAACAACGAAAGTAATGAGAGTTGAGTTACCTCAAAACTCGGTACTTTACATATTTATTTATTTTTTTCTACTTAGGTATGTGACCAATTGATAAAAAGTATCTCTTTGTGATCTATGGAAGAGTTACCACATAGTTTAGAGGTATATTCAGGGGTGGGCTGCTGGGGGTCCACAGGGGTTCGAGAGAGCCCTTAGCTAAGATTCTGTGCACTTCGGAAAGCCCCCAAATCCCAATCCTGACTGGCCCTGCCCACCCTTCCCCTCCCAGGAGTTGCTACACCACAATACCAGTGGTGGTATTCAGCTGGGTTGCACCACATCAGGCGAACCGGTAGCAAGGAATTGGCGTGGGTCGCCGAACCGGTAGTAAGTTCTGGATGGCCACGCCCCCCGACCCGGTCGCCACTGGCTCGCTTGCCTCGCCCGCCCGATGCTCACTTACCCCGCCCGCCTGATGCTGGTCCCTTAAGGTATTTCTTTTTTTTCCTCTCCCGATGATCAGCTGTTTGTATGATCAGCTGTGCTGGGATCCCCCTTGCTGAGGCCCAGGAAGTCAAAAAATGGAGGGAGGGGTTTATCCCCACCTCCATTTTTTTTTGCCTTCCTGAGCCCCAGAGGAGCCTTCTGAGAGCAAAAATGCCCTCCCCCAGAGGCTCTTCTGAGGCCAGGAAGGTCCCAAAATGGAGCTGGGGGGGGCTGTGTGCCCCCTCCAGGCTCCTTTTTATTCTTCCTGAGCCCCAGAGTAGCCTTCTGGAAGCAAAAACGTCCCCCCAGAGGCTCCTCTGAGGCCTAAATATGGTGGGGTGGGTGGCTGCAAAAAAGCAAAAAAAATAGACATGCCCACCCAGTCACATGGCCACAGAACTGATAGTAAAAAAAAATTGAATACCACCACTGCCCCACATGGTCCGTTTTGGATGCAGGTAAGTGCAGGGCGCACACGGAGGCTCCGGAACAGTGAAAAACGGGCCTCCCGGAAGTTTGGGAAGGCCTGAATTGGGCCCATTTCCGGCTTCCAGAGAGCCTATGGAGCCCGGGGAGGCTGTTTTCACCCTCCTGGAGGCTTGAGAAAAGCCTCTGGAGCCCGGGGAGGTAAAAAATGCCCCCCCAGCCATGGTGCAGGAGGCTGACTAGGCCACGCCCACCATGGCCACGCCCACCATGGCCACCCAGCAACCAGGCGGAAAACCCTTTGCTAAAACTTTTGAAGCCCACCCCGGGTATATTCTATATCAGTGATGGCTAATTTTTTCCACATCGCGTGCCGAATGTGTGTGTGTGTGTGTGTGTGTACTTGCGTGCCTGCACCCATGATGCAATGTGCACGCAACCCCCCCAACCCCATGCACGCGCAATCCCCTGTGGGTGCACCATGCACCTATGCGCATATGCACACAACCACCCTGCGTCACATACCTCTGCGCATAACACCATGTGCTTCACGCCTTTGCGCATGCACATGCAACCCCACCCACGCACCCCACCCCCTGCACATGCGCTCACATCTCCCCCCGTGCATGCATGGCAGATACCCGACAATCAGCTGGCTGGCGGGGGGCGCGTGCACATGAACAGTGAGGCTCTTTGGCCAACCTCTCGCATGCCGGCAGAAATGGCTTTCTGTGCCATAGGTTCGCCGTCATGGTTATGTTTATTATTAATTAAGTCAATAAAGTATATTGATTTTATTTTCTACAAGGAGTTACAATTTGTAAAAACTTAGAAGGTGTGTACTCCATTCTTTGAGAGCCAGTTTGGTATACATTGTCAGGGGTGGGATTCAATTTTTTTAACAACTGGTTCTGTGGGCGTGGCTTAGGTAGTGGGTGTGGCTTGGTGGTCAGGTGACTGGATGGACATGGCTTGGTGGTCAGGTGACTGGCTGGGTGTGGCCAACTCAATATCACTTACATCGAGGCACACATCTCCTTGCCTGGCCTCTCATGACTGTGGGGATGCTGCAACAGTCATAAGTGTGAAAAATGGTCATAAGTCACCTTTTTCAGTGCCATTGTAACCTTAAGTGGTCACTCCACACAAGCAAAGTATCAGCAAAGGAGGGGAGAAAAACTCCAGAGATGATCCTGAGACAGGAAGTCTAGTCCTGCCAAGAATGTAATAACAGACAGTTTCTGTAAGCAACACCAGAATGTTTCCTTCCTGCCTTCCTTACAGGATTAGGCCAGTAATTTTTCTAACAACTGGTTCTCCGAACTGCTTAGAATGTTAACAACTGGTTCTAGCGAATAGGTGCGAACTGGTAGAATCCCACCCCTGTACATTGTGGTTAAGGCATCAGACTAGAGACCAGGAAACTGTCAGTTCTAGTCCCTTTTTAGGCACAAAGCCAACTGTTGACCTTGGGCCTGTAATTTTTCCTCAGCCCTAGGAAGGAAACAATGGCAAACTACTTTTGAAAAACCTTGCCAAGACTAGTCCCAGCAGTCTCTGAGAATTGAACAGGATTGAACAGGGTGGGTGGGGGATCTATTATGTGTGGCACACTTCTTGTTTACATAAAAGGTTTCATCTTACAAATACATGGAATTAAGCTTCATAAAACTCAGACTTCTGAGGAGGCATCCCTGGGTTCTCCTATATATTTGGACTGCTTCCCAAATGGTAGTTAAGGGAGAATAGTATAACTGAGATCATATATTAAGCTATAATTTCCATAACCATGATTAATCGGTGGGTTATCATTAAATAAGTCATACTGAGCCATGGTAGGCACAATGGTCAGAATGCAGTACTGCAGGGCTAACTCACTACTCACTCCAGGAGTTCGATTCTGAGCGGCTCCACATTGACTTGGCTGTCCATCCGTCCGAGGTGGGTAAAATGAGTACCCAGATTGTTGGGGGAAAGATGCTGACTCTGTAAACCGCTTAGAGAGGGCTGTAAAGCACTGTGAAGCGGTATATAAATCTAAGTGCTATTGCTATATTATGGCTCACTATAGTCAGTTATTGAATACCTATGCAACAGATTTGCCATTTTATTTT